TTTGAATATAATTTTTTTTTCTTTTTTTTTTTTTTTTTAAAAGATGACCGGTAAGGGGATCTTAACCCTTGACTTGGTGTTGTCAGCACCACGCTCTCCCAGCGAGCGAACCGGCCATTCCTATATAGGATCCGAACCCATGGCCTTGGTGTTATCAGCACCGCACTCTCCCGAGTGAGCCACGGGCCGGCCTAATATAATTTTCTGACAGAACGTTTCAACAAGCCAACACCTTTAGACTCATCTTGAAAAATCTGCAATATACCTAGCACATCCGAAGGAGAGGACTGAATCATGTTTGGGCACATGCTCCCCAGAGAAATATCTTCCCTTTTGGTTAGGTTCCCGCTTGGCATACCCAGTTACAAAGAAGTGGATTTAAAGTCCCTTTGTGCACCACGAGAGCAAAGGCACAGCAAGGGGGACCCCTCTTTTGGGTTCCTTGGTGCAGTGTGCACAGGCTGGCAGGAAGGCCATTTCACATCTCAGACTGGGTGGCTGTAGTGGCTGTGGTGGATGCACAAAAGCAGCCCTGGGATTGTACAGATGACCTCAGGGATTGCTGCTCCACATTAAGTTTTCCAGTAAAACTTCAAGCCATGTACAGTATGAGATCCTATGGTGACCAGGTACGGTGGATTTAATGGTGGCCCCCAAAAGATATACCATGTCCCAACCTCTGGAACCTGTGCATATGACCTTATTTGGAAAAAGAGTCTTTGCAGATTTAATTAAGCTAAGGATCCTTGAGATGAAGGGATCACCCTAGATTATACAGATGGGCCCCAAACCCCATGACAATAGTCTTTATAAGAGACAAAAGTGGGCCGGCCCGGTGGCGCAGTTGGTAGAGTGCGGCGCTTGGGAGCTCAGTGGTGCTCCCGCTGAGGGTTCGGATCCCATATAGAGACCGGTCCGCTCACTGGTTGAGTGTGGTGCGGGCGCGACACCAAGGGTTGCGATTCCGTTGCCAGTCGCGGTACGGGCGCAACACTGAGGGTTGCGATCCCGTTACTGGTCACGAAAAAAGACAAAAAGTTAAAAAAAAAAAAAAGAGAGAGACAAAAGTGGAGACTACAGAGAGAAAAGGCCATGTGGAAACAGAGGCAGAGACTAAAACATTGCAGCCAAAAGCCAAGGAAAGCCTGGAGCTACCAGAAGCTGGAAGAGGCAAGAATTCTCCCCTAGAGCCTTCAGAGGGAGCACAGCCCCACTGTTCCCTTGGTTTTGGACTTCTGCCTTCCAAAACTGTGAGAGAATACATTTCTGTTGTTTTAAGCAACCTAGTTTGTGGTACTTTTTTTTCCTGCAGCCACAGAAAATAAATGCACTGGTCTTCACATGTATATAATATCAGGGTACTTCAAAATGTCCATGGAAAAATGGAATTAAAAGATAATACAAGAAAAACAAACAAAAGATGACACGCGTCCTTCTGTGAAGGCCTCCATGCTCTTCCTGTACTTCACTGTCACTTCCCATGTCACCTCCCGGCGGTGACCGGCACCCGCAAGACAGCAAGCGTGGGTGCTGCTTCTTTGCTGCTGGACTAGAAAAATTTCCTTTTGGTAAAAGGACAGTGTGTATGAGGTGACTTCAAAAAGTTCATTAAAAAATAGAATGAAAATACGAATCTTTCCATGAACTTTTTGAAGCACCCGTGTATACATTAAAGAGATTTATAACTGCTTATTATGGTAAAATGGTACCATTTCCAGATGCCTTAAACCAGGGTTACTGATGGATTTGAAAGCTCTGTCGCTTCGTGTGTCACCGATTTGAAGGATTAAATTAGTAGTCCCAGTACATACTGCATCTTGCTTTGTTGATGTTAAAAATCTTTGCCGTATCAATGTAAGCTCTCACCCAGCATCTCTCTGCGCAGAGGCGCTATAAATGACGGACTGGGGGCTGCACTTGGGTTTATGTCCCTCAAGGCCACAATGAACATCCTTGTTGACATCTACATGCTTGTGTGGCTGTGTCTGTGGGACTGCAGGGTCAGGGTACACATGCACCGGAGCCTCCAAAGAAGCCCCACCACCAATGTGCTGCCTCTGTTTTCCTCGTCGCCCCCCCCCACAAAGCAGGAGCATCTTGCAGACGCTTTAAAAACGCCTGTCCTATCAAATGCAGCACAGTCTCTCTGACAAAGCCAGCGTTCTTCCAAGGAAACAAAGGCCTAGTCATGGCTTAGGGCTTCCATCAACAACCTGGAACCTTGGCTGGCCTCACTTCTGACCTGTCCCAAGCACCTCCGCACTAGACCTAATGTAAACAGAGCCTCCGCAGATTAGATTCCTGTGATGTTTGAGAGCTTCTAAGGACAGTGGTGGGGTGCTGCCCAGCAGGCCTTGGCCATGACCCACCCCAGCCTCCTTCAGTCATCTCTGTCTCCCTTCCTTCACTCTCACCCCTACAGTCTATTCTCCACAAGGCAGCCAGAGGGAAAATATAAGTGGATATATTAAAACGTAAGTCAAACCGAGTCACTCCCCTGCTCTCAACCTCCAGTGGTTTCCCAGCTCAGGTAGAGTAAAATCCAAAACCCTTGCTGTGACCTACCATGCCCCACAACCTAGCCGGTGGCTATCTCCCCAACCTCAGTTCCAGCAGCACGCACTGCACTCCAGCCCAGAGCCCCTGGGAGCCAGGTAACTAGGGTGAGGTGACAAGGGCCTGGGTGGGGTTGGTGATGGGAATGGACAGGCACTTTCTGCTTCTGCCCGCTCCCATAAAGGCTCAAGCCATCTGTGCACCCCTCTTTCTCTATCCCAAGCCTCTGGCTTTGCTGGTCGATTGTTGAGAGACTGACTCCAGCCTTCCTCTCCCACACCAACCTGCCTAATTCGAGGAGATTTCCGGGTCCATGTAACTGGTCCAGTCAACCATAGCTTCAAAGTTCCAGGAACCCCTTTTGATGACAGTGACCTTTATCCTTATGTGCTCAGCCGTCCAACATGGGGCTTTAGTCTGGATCCATCCTCATCCCTTGCAATTGCTCCTCCCTTCCAAAACCTTACACGCCAGCATCCCACCTGCCCATCCACCTGCTCTGTGACCAGAGCCCTGCCGTCCTCTGCTGGGCAGCTCCCTCCCGACTCACACCCGTCCCTATTTAGCTGGCAGGCTATTCAGTGGCTCCCGGAGCCGTCTGAGCACGAGAGCCCCTGGGAGCTCTCGGAGGTGAGATCACGGTCCCATCACAGACAGGGCCTCCTTAGGCTCTCAGATGCCTGGGCTGACTGCCGGGTCCATCCCACAGCACCGCGTCCTGTTCACGTGATGCTGCACTCTTCGGGCTGTCCTCAGGACCCTCTGACACTTCACTCTCTCTCCTTCTTGGGACCTGTCTTCCTCCTCCCACTCCTGACATGCTGAAATGCCCCTCTGTCCTCAGTCCCCACACTCTCCCTGTCCACATGGCTTCAGTGGGCAACCTCATGTGCTCTGCTGGTTTCAGCCACCACCTCTGTGCTGACGACCTTCAGATCTACTAGTCTTCCCTTCCAACAGGTAAGGCACACGGACATTCAAAAGCCGAGGGCAGATATTATTACTAAGGACGGGCATCCCTTCAGATACTACGAAGGCTTCTGGCATGGGCCCTCTACTTGTATTTCCCCCCATGCCTCTTCTGTACACTAGCAGGTCTATTTGTGACAGGCAGCTAGGGCCACAGAGTACTTCAGGGCTACTGAGAGCAAATTCACTAACACGAACCTTCTCATAAACACTGTACCGTAGCAAACCAAACTAAACCCTATGTGGTATTGAAAATGCTAAGCCCATCAATGGTCCAAGCATCCTTTTTATTTTAGGACCCCCCCACCCTTCATGTGGCACTTACCCCCAAATATTCTGTGGTCAGAAGTTTCTCGCCTGAGAGTTCTCCAAGCTGAGGTTGGATCAGCTCGTCTTTGTCTAGATCGGCTTCCATGGTGTCCTGGTCCTCCTGTTTCAAAACAGACATGGGGTGAATGCTCTGGACACCCTGCCACCAGCTCTTAGAGGGTGGCTTCCCAGAGCGTGCAGCGGCCTGGAATGAAGAGGCCTCCGCCCAGTCACAGCAACTCGTGCATTTATGTCTCAAAGGGTGTTGGGGGCAGTCTGCCCTCTGCTCACAACCTCCCCGTGAAGAGGACAGGGGGAATGCCAACCAGCCTCCTCGGTAAGCTGGACACCTAGTGCACGCTTCCACTGCTGTAGGTGTGAAGAGGGTCAATAAGACTCGTAAGGCCTCCTAATTGCAGTTCTCAAAACTTCTCTCTCTGTGAGGTCATGGTACCATGTGAACAGCCAAATCAGTCAGTTTACAAATTACTACTAAGCACTTTCATGTGCACAGGCCTTATGTGGGATATGACACTGTGTTTTCAAGTAATTTACAGTCAATAAGTAAGAAGACTCAGCAAAAAGAGAAGGTTGTTCTGCTTCTGGAAAGAGGAAGTGGACGCACCTTTCCTATTCCTCCCACTCAGTACAACTAAAAACACTGCACGCTACATATACAATAAACAGAAGATGCCCCTGAAAGATGGAGAGGAGAGGACAGACTAGCTAGAGACCTTCCAGGGAATGACAGATGGTGAGTTCCCTGGGTTTTCTTTTATGCCAGATTTGGGGCTGAAGAAGCCAGCAATCCAGAAATGTCCATGGTGAAGACAAAAAAAAGTCCTCCAAAAGCCTGGTCCCTCTAGCCAAAGTACCAGGAAAGGGGGAGTCTAGCATGACAGAAGAACTTTAGAAAATAACTACACACCACAGAAAACATCGTAGCTCCACTCCCAACCATGACGGCAAGGGCCTCGGGAGCCTCAGCTTCTCTCCTCACCAGGCTGTGATGAGGCCCCAGCACTCCAGGTGGTGCTATCAGAAAAGGCCAGGTAAGGAGGGGCGGTGATCAGGCCCCCACCCTGGGGTCTGAGTAGACACCGTGTGGGGAGGCTGGACCTCCACCCCACTTGGCAGTAAGTCCCTCCTTCTCCCTAGTGGGGTGGTGTCACAGGAGGCCATGTGAGGAGCAGTGACAAGGCATCCTATCCCTTCTAGACAGGGAGCTTTAAGTGGAGGCCTAGTGGGGATCCAGAACTCCTACCCTTGCCCTGCAGTAGTGAAGAACCCCCTCATCTGGTGTCCGCCTGGCGTGGAACCTGGGCTTCTACTCATACTTTGCAGTAATAAGGATGAGGCCCTATCTTCCCTGAGAGCAGTGTCAGAAGAAACCAGTAAAAACAGAAGGTCTAAATAGATCCATAGTCTCATAACATAACACCCAAAATGCCCAGGTTTGATAAAAAAACAAAAATCACTCATAGTATCAAGAACTGGGGAGATCTCAAACTGAACAAAGAGACAATCAATAGATGCTGACATCTAGATGACAGATGTTAGAATTATCTGACATAGATTTCAAAGCAGCCATCAAAAAAATGCTTCAATGAGCAATTACAGTTGATCCTTGAACAACACAGGTGTGGGGGGAGCAGTTAGGGGTGCTGACCCCTGGTGCAGCTGAAAATCCACATATAATTTTGACTCCCTGAAAACTTAACTAGTAATAGCCTATCGTTAGCTGGAAGCCTTAGTGATAACAAGCCATTGAGTAACACATATTTTGTATGTATTATACACTGTATTCTCACAGTAAAGTAAGCTAGAGAAAATAAAAGTAAGCTAGAGAAAAGGAATCTCCAAAAAAATTTCCAATACATTTTATTTATTTATTTATTTATTTATTT